CAGAAACGTTACTTTCACTTTTTCGACGCTGGCGGCGCAGGTATCGCCAGTTTCGATATCGCGCGCGTATTTCGAAATTAGGTCGATAGACTTATCGGTCAGGAGGAAGATTTCTATTTAGGCAAATTAGGTATATACTTATATAATATTTATTGAGTCAATTGCTTCATGTTTATCTGGAGAGATTTCGTACCCTTACATCGTATTACCACCGCTGCCGGAAAAGAAGGTTCTCTACGCTTGGCAGAAAGTGCCGCTAGGGAATTTTTAAGTCGATACTTATGAATCAAGCTTGAATTCGATGTCTAGGTATCCCAGGTTGCCGATGACGAGGTCCAGATAGTGCGCTTCATAGTTTTCGGTGTCCAGGTGTAATAATACGTTGAATTTGATGTCTACGTGTCCCAGGTTGCCGATGACGAGGTCCACATAGTGCGCTTCGTAGTTTTCGGTGTCTACGTGTATTAATACCTTGAATTCGATGTCCACATGTCCCAGGTTGCCGATGACAAGATCCAGATAGTGCGCTTCGTAGTTTTCGGTGTCTACGTGTATTAATACTTTGAATTCGATGTTAACGTGTTCCAGGTTGCCGATGACGGGATCCAGATAGTGCGCTTCATAGTTTTCGGTGTCTAGGTGTAATCGTACGTTGAATTTGATGTCTAGGTGTCCCAGGTTGCCGATGACGAGGTCCACATAGTGCGCTCCGTAGTTTTTGGTGTCTACGTGTATTAATACCTTGAATTTGATGTCTACGTGTTCCAGGTTGCCGATGACGAGGTCCACATAGTGCGCTTCATAGTTTTCGGTGTACAGGTGTAATCGTACGTTGAATTCAATGTCTAGGTGTCCCAGGTTGGCGATGACAAGGTCCACATAGTGCGCTTCGTAGTTTTCGGTGTCCAGGTGTAATAATACGTTGAATTCGATGTCTAGGTGTCCCAGGTTGCCGATGACAATGTCTAGATAGTAAGCTCCGTAGTTTTCGGTGTCTACGTGTATTAATACCTTGAATTCGATGTCTAGGTGTCCCAGGTTGCCGATAACGAGATCCACATAGTGCGCTCCGTAGTTGTCGGTGTCTACGTGTATTAATATCTTGAAATTGATGTCTAGGTGTTCCAGGTTGCTGATGACAAGGTCCAGATAGCGCGCTCCGTACTTTTCGGTGTCTAGATGTAATAATAGCTCGAATTCGATGTCTACGTGTCCCAGGTTGCCGATGACGAGGTCCACATAGTGCGTTTCGTAGTTTTTGGTGTCTAGGTGTATTAATAACTTTAAATCTGAATGTAGGACACGTAGATATCGAATTCGAGGTATTAATACACGTAGACACCGAAAACTACGGAGCGCACTATGTGGACCTCGTCATCGGCAACGTGGGACACCTAGACATCGAATTCAACGTATTATTACACCTGGACACCAAAAACTATAGAGCGCACTATCTGAAACCCGTCATCGGCAACCTGGAACACGTGGACATCGAATTCAAGGTATTAATACACCTGGATACCGAAAACTATAAAGCGCACTATGTGGACCTCGTCATCGGCAACATGGGACACCTAGACATCGAATTCAAGCTTGATTCATAAGAATTGACTTAAAAATTCCCTAGCGGCAGAATTAAAATTATGTCATGACATAATAAAAATTCGCTGAATTAAAATTATGTCTAGACATAATAAAAATTGGACGAATTAAAATTATGTCAAGACATAATAAAAATTGGATGAATTAAAATTATGTCTTGACATAATCAAAATTGGATGAATTAAAATTTTGTCTGACAAAAATAATTCCGCATTTTTATTATGTGTATACACATTTTTAAAAATATGATATTCATTATAATTTTAATGTATGTGAATGTTCTTCAGTTAAATGTTATTCAATAAATTCAGTACAATACGTTAATAGCTTAATGTTTTTGCAACGAGCGGATTGTTAAAGTACGGTTTCAGATGCGCTGTTACGACGACGACGGTGTGGCGAAAAAGCCGTGGTTATTGATACAATTGCTTATACAGCAATTGGTATAATCAACTCGCTTTTATGGTGCGCGTTTCACCAAACGGTTCTCTTCTTTCGTCGGGTATCATAAAATTCGAAGGCCTTTTAAACGCGACGCGCTTCACGAGGAGAAACCTTCTCCTTGCGCAGTGTCGAAAAAAGTACCGATACATTATACCTTTTCTTGCTGTAATTTCGTTATATAGCTTATACAATTACGTAAACATTTTTTAAATCTATTTTATTTTAAAGCATTCGAGAAAATTAGTCAAGTTAATTAGCTATTAAAACTGTTTAGCTTTAACACACACATTAATGATATCTTAATTAAAAAGAACGTTTCGATAAATTGTAGAAAAAGTATCCTCAATTTTACATATTGAATTATACTTCCTTGTATATTAGCTAGAATTTATTATTAATATCACAAAAAAACATATTATCTCTAATACTGGATAAACGATATATTTTTATATAGCTTTATATATTACGTACAGCTAAAAGTTATTTTTATCAATATACTTTATGAATAAATATATCTAGCTATACATTTTTTATTTAATAAAATAAAAATAACTTCTTCCTTTCTTAAATTAATTTATTTTCTCTAATATTAGCCATTTATCGCGAAATAATACTATCGAATCGCATAATGGTTCGAAACTGTTTTCTCTCATTACGGAAAGAAATGGGATAAATAGGAAAATGTGACACTCAGGGAGAGAGAGTAATTGGGAGAAATGACCAATTGCTGATTTACTCGGCCGACTTGCAAACACGGTTTACCAGTTACTGTAGATAGAAGGAATGGGCGAGAGGGGACAGGGGTTGGTGGGACAGGGGAAAGGATATACCCTAGAATTGTAATGGTAATGGTAATGGTACCGGTGCGCAGAATGTCGGAAACGCGAAGTGTACGGCATTCTTTTCTTGCCCGATACTTTCTTCAACGTCATCTCCGTCGTGTCCGTTTACAGTTAAGGACACGACGCGACGCCGGGATGAAATTAAACGCCCGGACTTTTGTCTCTCACGGTAGAGATGGGCGATTATAATCGATTTTAACAAAAATCGATTATATTTTTGTCATAATCGATTATTTTTATTCGATTATTTGTGAACCGATTAATTGATTAATCGATTATTTTACCCTGCCGCATCGGGCTATGTCGATTATTGTCATTGGCCGGATTCACCGGATTGGCCCGAGGCCCGACCCCGACCGCCTGATTGGCCGGTTGCGATCACGCAGAGTACGCAGACGCAGTGAACGCAGTCTATCCTGTCTATCCCGCGATTTCCGCGGGTGAATTTACATTGCAGAGCACGTGAACAAGTAAAGTCGTGAAATGTCTTTTTGTCGTTCTTTCTGGCTTTCGCATATAAATTTTATAATATTTTCTGTTGTCATTATTGTCATACTCATATACTCATATGTGTCAATACTGTCAATGTTAATGTGTGATACTCAAAACTCTCGAAAGGTAAGAAATAAGAATTTTACAAATATAATAATTAAGAATAATAAGAATTTCCTTGTACAATACAAATAAATGACGACATATGAATTTAAGCAAATCCTAACCTGATAACAGTGGTAACCTGTCACTTGACAAGCTAATCGACGTCCGCAACTGCAAAGATTCGGATTCGGAATTAGATATTGGAGATGGATTCTATAGCGTCATCAAGTTTGTCATATGCAAACACCGAACGAGCCGAATCTCTACAATCATCTTGCTCGTTTTATGATCTCGGAAAATCTCGGTATGTTAATCGAGTTATTAAATTATGAGTATTATGACCGATCTATTTTTTTATTTTAAATGTACTTTATTTATATAATATATTGTACAAAAGTAATTGTTATTGTCTTATTCTAGTCCTGAATTAAGCACAAATAAAACTGCTAACCAACTTAATACTGGTGAATCAGGTGAATTTCAAAATCAAGATCAAAACCCACGTGTTCAGTCAGACGATTCACAACAAACAGTGACGAGAGACAGAGTAAACGCTGACGCTCAGTAAGTTATACCAGTTTGATTGTTAGATGTGAGATTTGATTTGCCACAATATTTTTATTTACATATTTGTTATTGGATCCTCACAGGGAATCTGCAAAAAATACAGGCAAAGCTGCAAAGAGCGAAGTATGGCAGTACTATACAAAGATAGATAGTATATCGGCACGATGCAACATTTGTATGAAACCTATTATGAACAGAGGCAACACAACCAATTTAATGCAGCACCAAAGACGCTCTCATTGGATGCATCTACCCTCATTACCGTCAACAAGGAAACGTACGAGCCAAACAGCTTCATTCTCTTCGGCTTCAGAAGATGTTGATGACCCACCACCAAAAAACCAACGTCTCCAGACGCCGCCGAAATCAATTAAATCCCAGAAGATCGACAAAGTGTTCCAGAGAATAAGCTCATTTCAAGGTAAGGTTATTTGTATATATGATCAGATACATGCATTTATAATCTGTGCGCTCAATCGCTCATGTTCAAGAATAAATATACTCTGTCTTTTTCTTTACGCATTGTATTTAGATTGCAATGATTACATTCATCTATTTTCTACTTATTTTTACTTATAATAATTGTATGTTGTAGATGGGGGCTTATCTGCTGCTAAGATAACCAACGCGATTCTTTTCATGATCGCCGCCGACAACTGTCCTCTATCGATCGTGGAAAACAGAGGATTCAGAGCGCTCATGAAGACTACGTCCCCGCTCTACAACATTCCTAGTCGGAAAACCATCACAAAAGACATAGAGTTAAAGTACCACCAAATGAAGAACGTGTTTCGAGATAATATAACCGCCACTACTACTCACACGTTGACATGCGACATATGGACAGATACAAGCAATCAAAGTTACCTTGGGATCACCGATCATTACTTGACGACAGAGCTCGAGATAAAGAACGGTTGTTTGGCCGTATTACCACTGAGCGAACGTCACACCGCGGATTATATATCGCGAAATTTACGGGATTGTCTCGAATCATTTGGTATAAAAACGTCCAATGTTACGGCGATGGTTACCGATAGTAGCGCGAATATTAAAAAGGCAGCGATCGACACATTTGGTGCTTCGAAGCACATACCGTGTTTCGCGCACACCCTATCCCACGTAGTACCAAGCGTAATGAGAACTCTACCGCAAGTCGAGAGTATCTTTACTCGCGTAAAAAGCATAGTGACGATAACAAAAAGGAGCGTCGTTGCGGCCGATGAATTGAAGCGGCTCCAAATTTGTAACGGGAAGACAGAGAGCACGGCTTTAAAGTTGAAGCAAGATGTACCTACGCGTTGGAATTCGTCATTTTATATGATCGAAAGGTTCCTTGATCTCCGTGAATATATTTATCCGGTTCTAATGAAATGCCCGACTGCCCCAGAAATGTTAACGCGGGAGCAAATCCAAATTCTCGAAGATTGCGTACTACTTTTACGACCGATTGAAAATGTAATTACCGAAATCAGCGGCGAAACATATCCGACAGGCAGTATGGCTATCCCAATAATTTGATGCATGGAGATTGCATTGAACAACTGCAAACCCGTGACGAATATCGGACAAGATATGAAATCGAAAATTATAGCTAAAGTTGAGGATAAGTTTAGAGAAATCGAAACGTGCGAATTATTGGCAATATCAACAATTCTTGATCCGCGTTTTAAAAAAATTCATTTTCGATCTACGTTGACGGCATCAAACGCTATTGCAAACATAAATGAAGAGATGAAATCGACTAGCTCTCATTCCGCGATAAGCGTTGCGCCGAACCCGAAACCTTCGGAAAGCTTTACTCACTCAATAAGTGTATGGGACTTTCACGACAATTTGGTTGCCAACGATATGCAATCAAACAGCGATTCTTCAGAACTTCACCTCGAATTGCGTCAGTACCTCAACCAGCCCGTTATCTTGAGACAAGAAAATCCAATTGAATATTGGCAAAGCGTGAAAAACGCGTTTCCGAAACTGTACGTTTTAGCAGTAAAATACTTAAATGTCATCGCGACCTCAGTTTCATCAGAGCGTTTGTTTTCGAAGGCTGGGGCATTAAAAACAGAACGGCGCAACAGATTGTCGGGTAAGCGACTCAATATGCTGCTATTCCTAGGATCATTATCCGAAAAAGACTGGGGGCTCGCATAGCTACGCTTGCAACTCACGCCTCAATTTCTCTTGTAGTACAAATTACAAGGCTTGTAATTGTATGCTTTGTATGTTTATATCTAGTTTTGTTTTTGGCTGTGCTAAATACTTTAGTTAGCTTTATTCTCATAAATTTGTAAACGTTCTATTAACGTACAGTCGACAGTGTAAACATTTTCTGTATCCTGTTGTACTTGTACAATGTACAAGTTGTACATCGTTAGTAACGATTCGTTACTAAACGTGATGGGAATGTATGATTGTAGATTGTATGCATTTTCATTTGTCCTGATTCCTATCCTAATTTCTTTCCATTTTATTTTTGTTTATTTGGAGAATTGGAGATCCTCAGGTACAGTATGTTTTATTCAATTATGTGTTTGTTAAGTTTGTTTATTTATACTGTTTACTAAATATGTTTTGATTTATATTACAGATATCTGTACGGGCCCCTTTCACGACTATGGATAAGTCAAGAAAAAAATAATACGTCATCGGCATAAAATCTAGTTATTTCAGTTTTAGTTAG